GGGGGGGTCCTTACAAAATTAACGATGATGCTCTTAAAAAGGTTGGTTAAAAAGAAAAGAACAAAAAACAAAACAAAACAAAAAACAACAAGAAAGGATGAAAAAATATCATAGACATTTTCTAGTCCTAAGATTAACACAGTTGAATTGAACCATATGATTTAAATAATTTGACAGTTCATGTATTTCTTTGTTGTATTCTTATAAACAAAAGTTTTTATCTTTGAAATTCAAAATTGATATCAAAGTTTTTATCTTTGAAATTCAAAATTGATATCAAAGTTTTTTTTTAATGAAATGCATCCTGTACAGGTTCTATCTAAATGTACTTACATTGTGGTTGCCGTCAACTACGGGGAGGGTGGGGTTCATGGGAAAGATGACAGAAGATGGGCATTTTGGCCAAATTTTAGCTGACGTCATTTGTGAACGGTCCCTTAGAGCCGACCCTAGCTGAACTGTGTACATGTACACCACCCTAGCAGACAGACAGACAAACAAATATATACACATTGTATAGTATATTACTACCATGTAATAATATTTATCTCTCTACCCTATAAAAGTAATTTGCAGGCAAAATATAGCTTACTGAATAATATTGCCCCAGGCGCTAAAGATTAAAGAGAAGAAAAACAACAACAAAAACTAGTACATGATGTGTTGTTTCGTTTCTCAAACGAATGCTGATGAAGATCAATTTTTTGCTATGTGTGAGATATCGTGGTGAAATCAGGCGCTCGTGAAAATGGTGAAATCAAAGAGAAAACGCATTTTACACAAATTTGACAATTTCTATTGAATTTTTTTGGGGGGCTAAACACCTTTTATGTTCATAAAACGCATTTCCATGTGAATTTTACTGAAGGCACAAAATGTGAATTTTTCAGTTTTCAAGGACTTTTAAGCTATTTATCTAACTTTGGCTGCCATTTTCTCATTAATTTAACCACTGAAACCAGGCTACCCCACCTTCTTCAATCGAAAATATCTCGACTTCTATTCACACTACATGTAATTTGTGTTCTGTACAGGGGAAAAATAGTTTTCTGCATCACGTGTCCTCCTTTTCCGTTTCAGAGATGTTGTTGCGGAGAAAGTGGAAATACTTGCGTGACCAGTTCGCCAGCGAATGGGGCAAGATCGAGACCCTTGGGGCGAACAGTTGCCAGGTGGTCACCTCCAAGTGGCAGTTCTACAAGCAGCTCCTCTTCCTCAAGGGCGTGGCCAAACCGCGGACCTACAAGGTTGTTCCTCATGGCGAATGGGACTCCACCCGCGGAGGCGAACCCGGAAGAGATTCATCTCGGGACTGGGAGGATTCTCTGAGGTCAGAGGTGAACGCCGGCGCCGTCAACAACGACAATAGCAACAGCAACGCGGGTGAGCCGTCCTACGTTGTGGCAGTGAGCGACACGAGTGAGAACGGTGAAGAAGACGGCGACACACGCGCCACCACGCACGCAAGAGACACACACGACACACGAGAATCACAACACACCAGCACACTTTATGTTCGAGGAAAGAGGAAAAGGAAACGAAAACGGCTTGGAAACGCTACAGGGGAGGGTAACGAGTTTCATCCAGCAAGCCTAGCTAACATTTACGACAGCCTTGAAACCATTATACACAACACAAATCCAAGTTCCCGAAACGTTGGTCCAACGGAAGATGATGACGACCTGCTCTTCCTCAAGTCCCTGTTGCCTCACATCAAGGGAATTCCCATGCCCAAGAGACTCTGCTTCAGAGGTCGCCTGCTGGAGCTGGTTCAGGAGTTTGCTTACCCGCCACCTGAGGACCAGAAATTTCTTGTGTCGTAACACCTTCTGGTGCCAAAGTATGATATGTAGATATTACCATGTTGTTTGTGGTGCTATGCTCTCATTATGTACTCTAAGGTATAAAAGAAAAAAGGGGGG